TACTTTTATCCATGGTTAATATATGAGGAAGAAGAGGTTAGGTATTAGAACTGAGGCTTAAGTCCTAGTCTGGCTGAATCCAAAGCCTGTGCTTTTACCCATGAGGCTAAAACCATTTCATCAGAAGGCCTGCTGCTATTCATAACATCATAGAGCTGGAAGGGACCTTAGAGAGGCCATCTAATCACAGATTCAAACCATACTGAATCTCAGAACCCTAGAGAATACATTCCAGCCACTCATTTTTTTGAAATAGACCTAGAGAAGAAAAGTCACAGGCCTGGGACTACAACTTGGGCCTCTTGAATCCCAGTCTGCCTCTTGTTCTGTTTCTCAGGTTGCTATGGACCAGAATGGACTCTCAGTCTATCTGTCTTAGCAGATCTCAGTCTTCAGCAAATGTCTGCATAACCTGATCAGGACTCTCCTTCTGGGGAAAGCATGGTGACCCTCTAAAAGCAGCCAGGTACTTAGGCATTCTCCCAGACATACGTGGTTTTTGTTGCTCACCATAGTGACTAGGCACTTGGAGGATTCCAGGCCTAATGGAACAGAAAGCAGAACAACCTGGGAAACTGGGGACCAGCCTTCTGGGTCTGAGGATTGATTCGAGTAACTCCCCACATGAGCTGCACTTTTCAGACTTAATTTAATGGGCAGAGGTGACTGACAATGTGTAAATGTTAAAATGTTATTATTCAAAGCCCTTGAGATCCCCATGGATCATCGTGGTAATTAAAATGCAACACAGAAGCCCCCTCGCTTCAGCAGCTCACAGGGTAAAAGGGAAATGAATAAAGATGGAAGTCGCTGGTGTGTCCTATTCAGTAGGGGAGAGTAAGAAACAGCCTCCCTCTCTGTGCTGTTACCTCCTTGTTTGTCTCCTAGAAGGGCAGACTGGGAGGCGGGCAGAGGTCAGTGTCGGGGAGTGTCGGAAGCTGCCTAGGTCCACAGTGGAAGCTTAGTGATTCCCATCAGAAGGAAGACCTTAGGCCTAAGGGTCCTCTTCTGCCACTCCACTGGTCCCAGAGCACTTTCGTGTCTCTGCCTTTTCGAATGTATTTCTACTTCTCTTTAACCCTGACGAGGTCTTACTTCTTCAATACCTAGCTCAAAAGCTACCCCTCTGAGAAGCCTCCTAGTTCAAAATAATCATGCTTTCCTTTCTGCCCACTGTCCTTGTGGTTTATACCTTTCTTGAAAGCATCTATTAGGCCAGGCATGGTGGCTCACGCCTGTAATCCTAGCACTCTGGGAGGCCAAGGCAGGAGGATTGATTGAGGTCAGGAGTTGAAGACCAGCCTCAGCAAGAGCAAGACCCCATCTCTACTAAAAATAGAAAGAAATTAGCCCAGGCAACAGAGTGAGACTTTACCTAAAAAAAAAAAAAAAAAAATCTATTAATTTTTGCCTTCTAATTATTTCTGTATATGCTAGTCTCTTCCAATATCGTTGAGGCCAGCTTGCTATCTTCATCTTTATATCACCTGAGTGCCCCCTGAAAGCAGATAACTTTGCACATGCTTATTGATGGAATGAGTGGTTATAGTGACAGTTTGGGGCCTGACTCAGTTTCTTACTTCAGCCCTTTCACCATACTACCTTCTGTTCCTTCTTTCTGCTGTTGAGAGTTGTAAGGATGAGGGAGGTAATGGATGCTTGTACAGTGCTTTATATCTTACAAAGTATTTCCGTGTACATTGTCTTTGATCCTTGGGACAGACCTGTGAGAAATGGGGAAGTAATTGATCTTACCGGTGAGCAAAGTATGCTGTGATGCTGCACAGAGGATAATAACAGCTATTAATATCTATTGAGAGCTTTCCATGTGCCACGCATGGTTCTTAATGCTTTACACATATCATTTAATTCTCACAACAGTGCTATGAAATGAGAATACTAGGGCACAAAGAAGTTAAGGAATTTGCTCAAGATCTGCCACTTGGTCGGTATATATTGTTAGCACTTTGTCCCTAAGAGATTTTATAGTATCCTGACTTTGCAGAAGGAAGAAACCATTGAGTAGTTTTTTCCCATCCATTGATTTGCTAAGAAATAGATCTTAGCCGTGAATGTAGTTTTCTATGGGAAAGAGAACACCAGCTTATTAAGATCCTCAGGTTCTTAGATCTCAGCAAGCTTTTCAGATACCAACGTGTCTTTCCTAGGAATTGCCTGGGTAAGTCATGTAATTATAGGACTCCCTTTCCATCATTTCTTATACTTCACAAAATCTTGGCACATTGTGGTTTCTGTAATGGGATTCTGACCCTCAGAGATTCTTCCTCTCCACATATTTCTTTCCTCCTTAAGTTTCCATTTCTTCTTTCTGCCCACTTCCTTCCCCCGGCATCTGTTAGTATTGAGCCCTTGGCATCTGTCTCTCTTTCTTCATTGATAGCATGAATGGGTGGCTGTTTGACAGGGCCTGCATTGTCAGCTCCCACAGCAGCAGTCGGAACATTCTCTGTGGCCTGGGTTCTGAAGTCCAGCCAGGCAATACGAGCCAGGCTGTGATGTTTTTCTTGTGTTGTTGGAACCCTCTCCATGCCCCCTCCCCAAAATTGTTAAATATGAAGCTGATGCAGAGCAGCAAAAGCCTGTGCTCCTGTTACCCAAGTCCTCCTCTTGCATTCAGATGAAGTCAGAGGGACACTGCACCTTGGGCAAGGATTTGTAGGAAGTTGGCCATTAGAATATCATCCCAGAGGTGGCAAATTTTGTAGCCCAGTTAGTTCTCCCCATCAGCTTCTCCTAGAAAGTATACTGCCCTGAACCATCATTAGACGGTCATATGTCATCCTCTCTGTGGCCCCACCATGCAACACCACTGTGTAGCTTTGTTCCGTCTCCCAGTTGTTGTGTGTGATATTCGTAGCTGTGAGTCATGGGTTCCCGGGGCCTCAGTTAAGCTGTATGGAACTCTTGTGTACTCACCATTTCTTCTTCCCTAGAGAAATGATTCAAGTCATTTAGGGCTTGTTCATTGCTCAGGTCCTGGCCTTTGGGGTGCTGGGTTTGGGAGGTAGGGGTGTGAAAGTTGTGAAACAGTCAAGAATAGAGGAGGGAGATGCCAAAGTTCATGCTTCTGGGCTCCTGTGGATAAGTAATCGGAGCCATAAAGTGGAGCTAGTTGGCTGCCCCTCAGCAGCCTCTGCAGACTTGCCAAAAGCTGAACAGACTGTAGAGACGGAACTGCTCTTCTGGACAGGGTGGGGCGGACAGAACCGTGTCCCTGCTCAGACCTCAGGGAGACTGGCTCATTGTGAGAGTTGGCTGTTGGGATCCTTCCTTAAAGGCTGTCTTGAAAGACATTAGCATCGTGCCTAGGCAATGGAGACTGTGTTTTAGAACATCCTGTTTATAAAGTGCTGCTTATTTCGCACCCCTCCTCACCTGACTGCCCTTTTCAGTTGTGGAGCCGAGCTTCAAGAAGGGGCCTTGGGGCTGCAGACATGCTGTTGAGGGAGAGTGGGTGCTATGCGGGCAGCAGCAGAAGAGGCACCCGGGCAGGGCTCTAGCATCCTGGGGGAGAAGTCTGCCATCACAGCATGGTGCAGACTCGGATTCTCATCGCCATCGTGACATTAAAGTATTGTGCAGCCCAACCCACTTATTTTATTCACTGAGGCCCAGCAAGATGAAATCACTGCCAAGGCCACACAGCTAGAGAGCAGCACAGCCAGGACCAGAGCCAGACCTTCAGCCTCCTAGGTTAAAGTCTTCTGTAACAGCACCGTGGGCAAACCACTAAAGGCCTGTGGGCCTTAGATTTCTCATCTGTAAAAATAGTCAAACTCAACCCTTTCGATTCTAAGATTCTCTGATCTTATGAAGAGTTCTTGGGCACTTTGGGCAGACTAGGGAATCATTTGGTGTAGGTACTATAGACTTCACTTACAGAGAAGATAAAGTTGAATATTAATTTTGGAATGTGAACATAGTGTTGTTACCTCACCCTGATGACGTGGGTTAAAGTCTTCAATGGGACTGAGTTCATGCAAGGAAACCCCCGTGTGTCAGTGTGGTGATGTTGTTAGACTCTGATTTGGCCAATTATTTGTGCTGCTTTGGGGCAGAGGTATTTGAATGTACAGTAGTAGCTGGCCTCATGAGCTAGTAGTGTCAGATTTCTAGGATGTTAGGGAAGTCTCAAGAGAACTGCAAATGTCTCCTGGCATTGACAAATTCGACTGTTTTGTTTTCAGTGGATCAACTAAAGTTAAACTTAAACAAATATGAGCAGCTGGAGGCTTTGGAAAGAGCGAGATGTGCACACTTGAAAAAAAAAATAGAAAAAGAAAGAAAGAAAGTCTGTGCTCCCTGAGGAAGGAAGGATGAGGCGTGGAACTCTGAATGGCCCCCTCTGAGGAAGGAAGTAGTTATTCTCTGCTGTTTTGTTTTGCACTTTCAGTTAAGGAATTCCAGAAGTTGCAGGTTGTGGATCATGACCTCCATTTTTTTTTTCTCGGTTGCTGCTTCCCAGAGGAAGGGAGGGCGGGTGGCTCTAAATAACACTTTGGCCTTTATGGAAATGTGTCAGATGTTCCAGGAGCGAGTCGCACTTGCTCGTGCTCGCTCTCTCGCACGCTCACGCTCTCTCTCACTTCTGCTTCATGTCCACTCACCCTGCCCTCACTGTGTCCTTTCTGTAGGATATAGTTAACACTCTTCTCGCCTTATATAGCAAGGTCTGGTCGTTAATGTTAACAGAAATCTTACAACAGGGAAGGCTGCCAGATAGCATTAATCAGGCCAGTGTTTGGAATTTCATAAATTCTCTGACTTTGGGTACAAATTGAACATTAAGAACAATACGAAAACTGTTTTCTTCCTTCCTCTTTCTCCTCTCTTTTCTCTCCCCTCCCAGCCTAGCCAGCTTCTCTCTCTTTCTCTCTGTTTTTGATTCCTATGATTTGCTGTACGCTCACTGCATTGGAACTTTGTTGATTTTTGCCACGTTTGATTTTTTATTTCTCTGTCTCTCTGTCCACTCCAAGACCACAGGCGGAGCAGCAGCAGCTGGAGCCAGGACTCTGCGGAGCAGCAGGACGGGCAGGTCCCAGAGCAGTTCTCAGGTCTCCTCCACGGCTCCTCCCCAGTGTGCGAGGTGGGGCAGGACCCTTTCCAACTGCTCTCTGCCACTGGCCAGAGCCATCCAGACGGTTCCCCCCAGCAGGGCGCCTGCCAGGAGGCCAGCATGCAGCTGGAGGAGACGGGTGTGCATATTCCTGGAGCCCCCCAGCCCAGTGTCCTAGACCAGAGCAAGAGAGTGGGCTACCCAGCAGGCCTGCCCGCCACCAACAGCCGATCACACCCTGGAACTTTGACTCACACAGCATCTCCGCACCCTGGTGGTGCCGAAGAAGGAGACCGGAGCGGGGCCAGAAGCCGAGCCCCTCCCACCAGCAGACCCAAAGCCGAACTCAAACTCAGCCGCAGCTTGTCCAAGTCTGACTCTGATCTCCTGACCTGCTCACCCACGGAGGACGCTACCATGGGAAGTCGGAGCGAGTCCTTGTCCAACTGTAGTATTGGGAAGAAGAGGCTGGAGAAGTCGCCCTCCTTTGCCTCGGAGTGGGACGAGGTAAGGGCGATGTGACGTCACAGGGAGCTGGGCTGGCCAGGCTGGCTGCATCTACCGTAGCTCCCCTGTGTGTGGACTCCTGGGACCGGGATCTGAGCCACAGGTGCCCTGGTTCCTTCCCACTGTGACAAACCACAAGGGAAGGCAAGCCCCAGGTAGGCTGGGCCATAGAAGTCAGGTTCATTAATGGTTAAACTTGAGGGTGGAGGCCCCAGCAGAGTGCAGCTGAGGGAGGGGCAGTTCCTAGCAATGACAGGCTGTTTGGATCCCGTCAGCCCCACTGAGGGAATCATGCTCACCCTGAGGATGCTTAGGAAGAGCTGGAGTTACTCCCTGTGAGTCCTTTGGGAGGAAGAGAGAAGATCCAGGGTTAGCTGGGAGTTGGGGGGTGCAGAGGGTTTGAGAGGGGTAAGCTTGGGGAGAAGCTACACAAATGGGATCAGAAGGGAGCTTTTCTTTTCCCTGCTTCTCCAAGGTTATTCATATTGTGTTCCCCCGAAAGGCCAAATGCTTGTTCCGGCAAAAGTGTCCTGCCCGTCCTACATTCCAGGTTGGTCAGGCAGAGGGCTAGGTGATTCAGGAAACAAAGATTAGCAAGTGGAAAACATTTGGAGTCAGAAGCCCAGGTTCCTTTCATAAGCATTGTTACAGAAGAGTTACAATAGTTATAAAATATTTGTACCCAGATATTTTTCAGTGACCTATGGCGTGTCATACTGGGCAGAAGAATGTGTCTGTCAAAGATTGGTAAACATCCCAGGAATGTTAAAGTGCCACCCTTGTAAGTTTCTTGCTGGGAGGAAGCCGCCTTTGAAGTGGCATGGGTCTGTCTCCCAGAACAATTTCAGGAGATGCATTTAGCCCTCCAAGAGGAGGGGAACAGTACAGCTGACATGTCCATTTGAACAATCTGTGGACTTAATGCCCTACCCAGCTCTGTTTGGGCTGCTGCTGCAAAGCTATGTAAACCGAAGCCAGTCCCATTTCCAGTGTGGGAACAGGGCGGGGCAGTTCTTCCAGCACTATCTCCAGATAAGATGAGGCTCAGGACTCTGATTAGTCAGAGCCAGAGGAATCCTGTGCAAAAGAAAATGTTCATTGCTTGGTAAATAAAGTTTGGCGAGCCTGTACTAGGTGTGGCCTCTAGTAGAAAATCACTATGACTGAGATATCTGAGGGGAGGGGAATGCCTAGGAGATGACACACAAGGTATGTGTGTTTGTAGGAATGTGTGCTCTACCTTCGTTTTTCAAAACCAAGTTGTAGTAATTTGCAGTCAACTACAGGATAAGGCAATTTAAGCCTTCGGATGAAGATAAGTGCAATATCCTCTGAAATGACAGGAGAGGTCAAGAGAGAAAAACATCAGTGAGGGGAAGTGGAGACTGGAGGTGTGAGAAGACAGGAAGGGACTTCAGGAAGGATCACAGAGCAATGAAATTTGACGTGGAATTAAAGGACCAACTCCTGTGGTTAAAAGCAGATTAAAACTACCAGGATAAAGAAAGGTGGGTGAGAGAACAGCATGAGCAAAGGCATGGGGTTGGGAAAGCTTAGGTCATTTGGTTTCTATAGAGTGTTGAGTGTGCATGGGGAGATTAAGAAATAAAAGTAGAAAGTGAGATTTGGACCAGATAGTGAGAGGGCCTTGAACATGAGGCCATGAAATGAGTACAGTCAGCCCTACTTATCCGTGGGTTTCTGCATTCATAGATTCAACCAACTGTAGTTCGAAAATATCCGGAAACAAAAAACAATAAAAAATAACAATACAACAGTTAAAAAAACACAAAAATACAGTATAACAACTATTTACATATTATTAGGTATTTAGGTGACTAGAGATGATTTAAGTATATGGAGGATGTGCATAGGTTATAAGCAAATACTATTCCATTTTACATCACGGACTTGAGCATTCACAGATTTTGGTATTCACAGGGGTCCTAGAACCAGTCCCCCAACAGATACCGAGGGATGTCTACTTGATTTGATATCAAGGCAGTATCTCAGAATCCTTCAAATGGGCTGGAAGACAGCTTTACCATGCTAATGAATTACCTCTTCTTTATAGCTCCCTCTCCTGAGCACATCCCCGCCCTGAGAGGTCAGCAGTGCTGGGTGATTCTTCCCCGGATATTTATGTCCTGTTAACATGCAGCATTGCCAGGCTCCACCATTTCCTCCTGGAGAAGAAACGTGAAATCACCCAGGCAAAGCCACACTTAATGGACGTTGGCTGTGTGGGCTCATAAGCCAATTGTCTCTTTGCAGCTTAATGAGAGAAGGTACATGTGCTGATATTACCTTTGCAGGTAGAGATTGCAGGTGCATACCATGAACCCAGGGACTATTTCGAGGTATTGCTGTCGTGGGCCAGTTCTGTAGTGTGACTGACGTGCTGAGTGCACTGCTACATTTTAAATTTGAAAAAATTCAAGGCAATTGAGGTCTCATTAGAAAGAATTCAGAGTATCAATCTTTGCTTACATAGTAAACATTAACAGCACCCTTTATGTGTAACCCTTCAACATTGTTTTTGAGTTGTATTATTCTTGGGTTTTGTGAGTATCTCTGTCTAAAGAGAACTTCAGAGTGTTTTCCCCAGTGATTGGCCCTAAACCCAGGGCTTTGGCAAGATTTCCTCAAATGGGGTGGTAGTTAATGACTGCTCCCCACCCTACCCCGGACCGATGCCTGCAGGCTGCTTTGCCATATCCTGTTCTTGCTGATTTTTTTCTTTATTGTCCCAGGAGGTAGAAAAAGCTGCTCTGAAGGAACCTGGGCCCAGTGTAGCTCCTCACTGTAAGGCCTGGAGACTGGGTGGGGTGGGGGCACGGAGCTGGGCAGCCTGATCAAATCGCTGTGAGTTTCTCGTGAGTCTGCCAGGCTCTCCTAGAAGGCAGAGCAGGGCAGCAGACGACTCAGGGTCGGAGTGAGCAGATCCAGCTTTGAGCCCCAGCCGCACCATCTAATCCATTTTGGTGCATAGATAATGAAAGGGGTGACTTTGCAAAAATAATAGTACCTAATCCTACAATTTCTCCAGTAATGGTTAAAGATCAATCCTACGAGTTGTCTAACTAACAGGTACCCTACAGGAGTTCTGTTTTGCACAACTTCTGAAAAGAGTCCTGGTTATTCTTATTTGTGAAACAGGCGGTCAGATCTGTGTTTCAGAATGTTTTACCAATTAGAGATGTGTTTACGTGCCTAGCACAGTTCCCGGCTTGCATAAGGTATTGACTGAATGGTAAATATTAGTGTTACTGCGCCTAGAGCTTGGAGAAAGAATGGGAGCTGAGGTCTGGAGTATCTTCAGACCTTAAGAAAGGCAGAGTTCTTTGCAGGTGGTCCTTTGGTGTTTGGTGGTGGCAGAGTGACTGGGAAGCAGTGGAGTTCAAGCCCTTCTACTGGTGCTCCTCCTGCATGACTGTGCCCCACGACAGAACTGGAAGTGCCTACCCAGCCTGGGAAAGTAGGGCAGGTACCCCCCATTGTTCTTCTTTGAGAAATTAATGGACTTTTCTGCTTACTTCTCTGAGAGGAGAAGAGAGGTTAGAGAGAAATCTGCAGCCATCTCTTCAATTTATTTTTGAAATATATTCTTCTACATAATGACCAGCAGTGACTATTTGGTTGATTGGTTGTTTGGGACGATGTCCTCTAGCTGGGGAACATGCATCACCAATCGATTTTGGAGTCTTTTTCTCCAAAAACAGACTGCTCCTTACAGTGGGTTAATGCAGCCCTTGTTGAATTACCGTGAGCAAGGTGACTTCTGAAAGTTGGCCTGGTTAAGGTATTATCCATTAGTGACACAAGCATCCTCCCTATTTTCTATTATATTTTTAGTAACAAAGAAGTGATAGAGTTTGCCTTTAAAAGAACTCAGCCTAAGAGGAGATCTGAATCCAAGCTTCAGTAGATATTTTCTGTGTTTTCCAGGCAAGTCGAAGCACTGTTTGTTGTCTTAATGATGCCTAGGGCATAACAGAAGTTAAACTGAGAAGTTATACATAAATAAAACTTTAGAAATATATTGTAAGAAGTAGGAAAATTACCTGCATCCCTCTATGCATAGTTAACTGCTGTTAAGACTTGATATATATACAAATTTGGGGTCTTAGTATATTTATTGATTTATAATTTGCTTTTCTTATGTAATTACGTTATAGATATCTTACCATGGCAATGTCTATAAAAGATGCGGATTCGGATCTTCATTCTAAAAGGCTTAGTTTTCTGTTGTGTGGCCATATCATAAGGTTGGTTGGTTTTTTGTTTAAGCTGTTCTCCAATCAGTAGATACTATACAGGGTATTTTCCACCTGCCCTTCGGGTCCAGTTCCTACCCATCTCTACCTGCCTGTGTGTCCTACATTAATAGGTCAAGGGAACATTGGATTGGCTGTGCCCCTTTGTTGATGGCCACCACTCCTGTGAGGGGCCTTCTTCCAACAGCTCTTCTCTCTGGGTTCTAACAACCAGTCCCTCCCTTCCTTTGACCCTTCTGGCCTGAGGCTCCTTGCCATGACTAGCTCCTGTCCCTTGTTCCTGTTCCCTGCACTTTACCCAAACCTGTATAAATAATCCCCTTATTAAGCTCCTTCAGTTGCCCTGTTTAAATGTCCGTCTTTTTCCTACAGGGACCATGGGTAATATAGCCATCTTTAGCACTGTTTTTATGAACTTTAAGCAAGCGTAGATGGCTGTGCACTGGAGTAGTAAACGTGGCCCTAGTATGTAAATTGTAAATCATCTTCATTCGCAAATGAACCAGAAGGCTTGGATATTTAGGGTGCTGAAAAGTTAGGAAAAATTCATTCTTTAACTTGAAGCAGAGAGCAGAGTAGGAGCCATAGCAGCGGGAGTTGTGGCAGGACAAGCATTTAGAAAATTTCTTCCTCTCTTTGAATTTTGAAAGGAGCTCAGCTGAAACTGTAACCAAAGGGAGGCATCATGCTTCCAGAAAAATCACAAGGAAAAGTATTGTAAGC